GATCTTCCTTATGTCTCACCCCTATCATCCGCAGCATCCTCTCAGCCCTGGTGACTGATGCTTGGTCCTTTGGCTCTGATAGCAATGAGAGCTGTTACGTGTCAGGAGAGCAGCTGGGGGAGGCTGCCTCATCCCAAGAGCAGCACCTTGGCTGCATCCAGCCCTGCAAGCTGAGCATTAGAACTGTTAAGCACAAGCCTTTGGTTAGATGCTGCTAGACACCCTCTCTGCTCAGCTTTGTAAGGTAAACAAACACCCCATCTCCTTAATAACCATCTAGTTTATTAGACAGTCAGATGAGTCCCTAACCTCATCCATCATTTTTATTTTTGTTGTGCAGGCACTAGATGTATGTTTGAATGTGTGTACTTAAGGGACCAGGAATGAGAGACCTTTATATGAATCTGACCATGTATTTCTCAGAAGGCTATTACTAGGGGAAAATTGCTGCATAAATAATGTACAACTGCAGATGTCCAAGCCCGGTTTTCCTGCAATAGCTCACGGCGACAGAGACACTACTTTTAAAAAAATTTTGGGGAGTGTTAGAAGCAGTCAAGAGTAAGAAGGAACAAACAGCATTTTAGAGCTGAGCAATTACGGTAAAATGGATATTTCTGTCAGTGATTCTCTTCTTTGTGTGCGCATGCATTTCCTGTCTTTTTTTTGTTTTTTGCTGCTATTGGATTTGTTGTAATCTAGATTTGCTGTCTTCTGAAGGTTTCACTCCCCAGCAACAGCAAGTTGGCAAGTGTTACTCAGCTGCTTTGCTGATGGTTGTCTTAAGTCAAAGCAGAGATGGCAGAAAACGGGAATGTGACAGTGCCTTTAAAAAAAAAAAAGTGTGTGTAATATTATTGTTGGTCCTGGGAAGGCTGTTTGTGTCCCACTGACTTGGTGTCTTAAATGTTCTCTCTCTCTAAATGTTTAATATGGGGAAAGAAGGAAAACTTTTTTTCTTTACCTTTCCGTGCCTGCAACCCCCATTAACTCAAACAGGGACTAGGTTTTTAAGTACCCTGCACATTTAATAAATATATGTGCTTCTTTCTAAGATGACAGCTTAATTTCATAGCTGGAATTAAACCTTCTAGCTTGGCCATAGGCTTTCACTATCCTCCATAAACCTGGCCTTGGCAACAACAGCAAAGTTTCCAGTAAGTGGTCTGACTGGAACAGGCTGACTTCAGTGTCCTGGAGCTGGGATAGCATTTGATGGTCCCTTCATTACCTGCAAGACAGTCTTTCATGGTGACAGTGTATGCAGTTCATGCCAAGTCCCATACTAGGGAAGCTGATGGTATGGATTTCCCAGCTGATTTTGCTGGCTGTTGAAATATACCCCAACTGTTAATATTCATGTTTATTTTTTCAGGGAATTAAGTGCTGTTAGAGGGGTAGCCTGGAGGAAAGAGCCTCTCCAGGGGCTAGTGCTAGTTAATACTTTCTTCTGCTTAGTAGACAGATGTCACTGAAGGAACTTTCCACTAGGCTGTTGTTGCAGCCTCCATTTAGTGTCATGTTTGCTGTTCTGATCCCCTCTACCTCAGGGAAAGTACAGTGGATCTGGAAAGGGTTCAGAGAAAGAATTGGGTCAGCTAGGACTCCTCAGCATATAAAAGACGAAGTAGGAATCTGTAAAGCAGTGAGAGGTAGGGAGGGAGACTGCAAACTGTTCACTGTTTCATCCTTCAGAAGAACTAGGGTCAGCAAACAAAACTAGTTGGAGCCAGGTTTAGATCAAACCAAAAGACATGCTGTGTTCCACATGCAACATGTAGTCAAGCCACAGAACTAGCTGCAGGATGTCATAGTCAATAAAAATTTATAAGGACAGACATGGCAAACTGGTGGAAGGGAAAGCCAATGCTACTCACTAAAGACAAACTCCATGTCTGTCTCTGCAAGCTTCTGATCCACAACTGGTTGAGACATGAAGCACATGGGGGAAAGTAGTATATGCTTGTCCTGTTCCTCTGTTCTCCTCTAAGCTTCTGCTTTTGGCCATGGCTGGAGATGAAGCAGACAAGTTGGGGCTTTGGTTTGCCCCAGTATGTCTGGTTCGTGTTCTTCAGGATGTAATGGAATAGATGAGACTTTCATAGTGGCTACTTCTAATGTATGCTAGAAATGAGAAAAAAATCTGATCTCCTTGCTATTTCAGTTGTACTGCTGTCACCGCTAATGACAGGCTACTGAATACTGGTGATGATGGGAGATTTTGCATCATTGCATCTATTTGATGTCAACTGAACAAAACCTGTAAGATTTGTTTCACTCAGACTTTAAACACCCTTCAAACAGGAATGACTACCAATTAGTTCTGTATTCTGGTAGTAAATGCTGTGACTATCAAATTCCCACAAATTTCTGTTAATATGTGCAGAGGATTTTTTTGCCATTTTTTATGGCATAGTACAAACGTGTGTGTAAGTATACACATTTATTCTGTGTAATTTGCATACCTAACTGCAAATGTATGTAAAATAAGATACTCATTAAAATGCATTTATTCTTTCCTTTTTTCCTTGATTTCAATAAAAGTGGCATATTTTTTTTTGTTCTGAGACAGAAAAAAACCCCTGCTTTATGTTTTTCAGAGTCTTTTTCAGTGCTAGTTTTGCAAGACTCAAAGGACTTGAGAGATCTTGGTTTGACTTTATGCACTCAGGAAGCTTTGGGGATTTAGATAGAAAAATTTCTGGAATGTAGTTCTCCTCAGCAGAAGTCTTTTTCTTTTGCTTATTATATAAAATGATGATAGGGAATTCTGCTCCTGTTTTTGCTTTCCTAAGCTGCATGAATGATCCTCCTCACCTGAGGGCCAAGGTGTGAATTGCTGTCGGCAAACCACAGGCAAGCGGGGGGCCCCTCGTGATGTAAGCGGTTTGTTAAGGAGCCTGCAGGCCTCTTGCTCAATGACTTCTCTGTCCACGTACAGCTTGGGAACAGTCACATTTTTCAGATGTGAAATCTGTCAGCAAAGTGAAGTCAGCTTAAATATCAGCTGAGGCTTGAGCTCCCTTTCAGTTTCTGTTGACTTTATCCCCTCCTGCTCCTTCCTGATCAAGTTTCTCTCTGCTTGAGTCAGACTTGCCGACACTTAAAAGTTTTTATTCTGTGTTTCGGTTGTGTGGATTTGTGTGTGGCAAAGTTCAGGTGCCCTTCACATTTTCAGCCTCAACAGTGATCTGAAATGCTGAGGAGAGGGGAGACTGTTCTGGGTCTCTGAGACTCTTTAGCTGCTACAGTTCAATTAGAAACCAGTAAAACCACTTCTGGTACCCAAAGCATGCTGTACTCAGGTGACACCCTGCAGACCTGCTGGAGTTTTTTGTGTTGTACCTGCTGCTACCAAGCTGAGGAATTCTAGTTGGGAATCAGCACACCTTCTTTTCCCCAAATACAGAACAAAAATTACTCTCTGCACCAGAATTTATCACCAAAATATAAGACGTAACTGATGGGGTACAGACAGACAAAATACACAGAAACAGTGAGCATGTGTTAGTTGTGTGCTGAGCCTGTCCTGGGGGCAGGATGCTGAGGTCATGCCATGTCTGCTGGCTGACCGTGCAAACATCTGTGGGTTTGGGATGAACCTGTGGTGTCACTGCCTGTCAGTGTTGAAGCATTTTATGGTATTGAAAGCTTGAGGGGATTCTTGGCTGTGGCAAGGAATTTCAGATGTTGTGGCTTGCTTAGAAAAGAAAAAACACAATAAACTGCAAGGGAGAGGAAAGCTAGGGAAGGAGAGAGCAACTGTTCCTGCTTCTGTTTTTTGTCACTCTCCTAAGGATAAAAGTTAGGAGTTATATTGTTGTCTTTTTTTTTTTTTACCCTAGACTTAGACATGTTTTAAATCCTATGATCAGCTACCTTGACTGTTTTCTGTTCTACATGCATGCTTTTTTTTTCTCTCTGTGATACCTTCAGTGGTTTCCAAAGTTGAAATAATTTTCTTACTCCTCAAAGGGCCAGAATGTTTGAAGACATGTAATTGAGAGCTTCTGGCTATTGAGCCAAATAGCTCTTAATATCCTGTGGGTACTCAGTGCATCTCTTCCCCCTTTAATGGCTGGTCTATATAAGAGGGAGCAGCCTGGCACATCTCCGTGCATCCGTCACTCCTCTGCAGGTGGTAGCTGAAGAGGCAGCATTAGGGCCGAAGGTGCTGGGCTGGCTGTGGAAGCCATTTCTGGGCTTCTTTCTGTTCTTTGGTGCATGCCAACTGTGCACTCTGTTCTCTGGTTGGTGATGTCTTTGTAAGTAACCTTTTCTGTGTAATAAGTTATTGAGGGACAGGGTCCAACCTACCCCTTGGTATAAAGCAATATTGGGTGCCCTCCATTTTCCAAGTGAGCACAATGGTGGAGTGTGCTGGAGAGGTGATAGAAGCGTGGGTAGAATGGGATATCCCGTTCTGTTCTCAGCTGAGGTACGTGCAGGTGCTCTCTGCATTGGATAAGGTTCTGTTAAAGCACAACCTTCTGCTCCTTTTGGGATCACATTGGAGAGATGCTATTGGGAGGGAAGTGTGTGTTGCAGTCTGGAGAAGGAGACGGTGGGGCAGGGCAGGGTGTTTGCCTCCTTCGTTTCATGGGAAAATACAAGTCACAATTTAGGATCTCTCGATATGAAAAAACATCATCTGGGAAATGCTTACCCTGTCGCTGCAGTAATAGTGAATTTATTGTTATCTGATAGCTCTGTTCCCAAACCCAAGTTGAATGGGAATAGTTTTTCCTGCTGTTCCTGGCTTGCTGGGCACTTAGCAGTCAATGTCTATACTCCATAATCTTCTTGTATCACAGCAAAATGTAGGAGGAAGCTCTCAACCCAGAAGTCCCTAGGGACGTAGGCATACTGATGTTTGCTGAGAAGGAAATGGACACAAAGGTCTCCAGATGTGAAGGATGCCCATGTCCTGGTGAGCTGAGGAAGGTGATCTTGATTTGACTTTTTTCTCCACCCCCTCCAACCTCCCTTTAATCTTCCAGAGAAAGTTCACTCCTGCGACCAGGAAAGGCAGAGTGCCCTGGAGGAGGCCAGGCAGAACCCTCGTGAGGGTATTGTCATCCCCGAGTGTGCTCCTGGAGGGCTGTACAAGCCAGTGCAATGCCACCAGTCGACTGGATACTGCTGGTGTGTCCTGGTGGACACGGGACGCCCCCTGCCTGGTACTTCCACTCGGTAAGAGCTACAGGCCTGGTAGATGAGATATAAAAAAATACTGTTGCTATATCAGATGAGTTCCTACTTCTAGACCAGTCCTTCCTTAGAGCTAGCAATGCCATACGTGATGTTTCCTGTTGAATGTTAGTATGCAGCTCCCTCTCTTTAGGGGCTGGTACATAGTAACTACTGCCCTTACTTTCCTCTGTGTTAAGTATTCATGCAAAGCAGGCTTTTTTTTTCCTCTGGCTGGTAGTTTTTGGGTGGTAGCAGGAAGCAGGGTACAGAGTACAGATCAGGGGCATGAGTAGTGAAAAGACAAGTGGCTTTGTTTTATTATCCTCTGCTTTATGCTTCCATGCTGCAGCCACTTGGATCCTGACCAGTGCAGAATTAGAAGACTGCTTGCTTGTGCCTTGATAGGTTTTAAGCCAGTGATAGATTTTTTTCTTTAAGTTACACTGTATCTTAAAACTACTTGGGGAATCTTTTCTCACTTGGAGTTTGGAAACAAATTGTGGGTCTTGCAAGTTATAAAACCAGGCCAGTAGGACTTGGGACCTAAAGTCTGCTAGACCCAGTGATTCTGCAGAGCATGGGCAGCTTTGTAAAAAAGCTCACCCTGTGCCCACAAGAGTTGGAAGAGGGCCTTGTGCTGTTTGTGGGTTTGGGTTGGTGGCTGGTACCGGACTTCAGAATATGCTCTTCCTTCTCTCTCCACTTCTGCTGCTGTTACTGGCTGTCCATAAGCAGACAGATGCTTAAGAATAAGACTTCTTCTGCAGGTTTATAGGCTTCCCCTGCAGTAAGCAAATAAGACACAAGCTCTTAGCAACCAGCTGATGACACTAAAGCTATATCACATAGTTTAGCATCTGCTGTTCTCCTTTTTCAGCTATGAGACCCCAGTGTGTGAAAGTGATGCCAGATCGAAGAGCACAGAGATTGATGATCCATTCAAGGACAGAGAACTTCCAGGTCAGAGAGGAAGAAGATCCTGTCTCTGCCTTCTTCCCTTGTCTCACCTTGGGACTCTTAAGAGGCCGAGAATATTGTTGAGGAGATGGGGAATTTCCCTCACCATGCATGTTTTACTATGGATTTTATTCTGTGTTATTTTGGATCACCTCCAGTTTCAGCAATGAACTGGAAAAGGCTGGGAGTGTCCTGGGGGCTGGTTTATTGCCTGTCTGTCCTTTGAAAACATGTCTGGGATCAGAATTTTCACAAAAGAAACCTGGATGCCTGGAGGCCTCCTGGGGGAAGAATGGGCTCAGCATTGAAATTTCTTCAAAGCCTGGCCAGGACAGGATCCTTTCCATATAGCAGGGCTTTTCAGCAGCTTGGTGCCCCCGAGCAACAGAAGACGACACAGCTGGCAATTGTCAGTAGACCAACTGGGTCCCTGACACTGCACGGACAGGCAGGGCAGCGTTCCTGGTACACTAAGGTCCTTTAATGCTGGCTTTTCATGTAGCTGGACTTTATCCCTCATTTTCTGCCTAGGAACTGCTTTATCTTGCATTGTTGCTTGTTTTATATTCTGCTTTTTCTTCTTAACAGAGTGACAAGCCATAATTTACTGTTTGCCTACCTAGTTTCTGCTAGGAAGATGTGCTGGGCATAGGTGTCTGTGCAGCTCTTAAAAATGCTATCCTACTTGCCTGCCCTCTGGTTTTCCCTTCTCACCGTCTTTCTCAGGAGCAGAGTGAGGGGTCCTCACTGACAGGTCAGCCATTGCTCTCCTGGGTGGGGGGCTGACTGCTTGAAAACAGAAGCTACAGTGGGTCCCTCTCCACCATGAGGGAGTGGTAGAGACCAAGAACTCTGCAGAAAGAGCTGGTAGCTCTGGATATACTTTATGCTATCCCTAGAAAGGGCCAGGAGAAAATTGAGCTGTCCCTGAGCAGGTTAGCGAAGGAAATGAGATTTGTTCCAGATTTGCCTTCTATGTCTCTTAATTCTCCTCCTACTGGCTCCTGACCTTGGGTCCTATAGCTTTCTGCTTAGCAACTCTTCCCTCAGTAGGGCTCTCTTCTACGCAGCTCCTCATTTTCACAAGTCATATAGAAATTTCCTCTCTGCCTCCCTCTCACATTCGAATGAAATTGGCCAATTGTTTCAAGTATTACTTTGGGGGGTAGGGGTAGGGAAACTAGCTAAATGATTGCATTAAGGCTCCTTTCCTTAGGAAATAGCAGTAAAATAGAATAACCTTACTTCCTTTCTTCCCCATCCCCTTCTCCCCTTGCTTTACTGCCTCTCCCTGCACTTCCCCCCCCTCCACCCCCACCTCTCTAGAACTCCTCTGTGAAAATCCTTTGCTCTTGGGCTTTTTCTTTGAGACTCTCTTTCTGATCTCTCAGGAAGACAGAATGGTTTCGTTTCCCTTCTCCCTCCCCTTCTGCACTGTAGCTGGACAAGGGGACAGGAACTGCTTGATGCAGAAGATGACACATGATGCTCTGTAACTTAGTGATCTGGTCCCAGCATCAGACTCCAGGAGAGTTCCCCCCTCAGCTCAAGCCACTTTTCTGTGCCTGAGTAAACTTTCAGGTCTGTGCTTGGCTGCATTGGCTGGCATGATGGTTCCTGTCACTGAAAATACCGTTGTCTCTGGAGGGACAAGGAGATGGAGGACCTGATCCTGGTTTGTCTGCCTGAGAGATGCTGTGCTGCATGATCTTTTGGTGCAGACTTGAGGTTTGTTTGATTAGCTGCTCTTGTATGCAAAAATTCATTGGTGAGCCAGAGCTGCAGGGGGTGATAGAGGATGTTTCTTCTCTTTTTCTGCTCTTATTCCTTAGCAGAACTGAATTTTAAGAGAAAACCCTGCTTTGAGACTGATCATTCCATTTGCACTCAGTTCTGTAAGGGGGACCCCGTACCTTATTCGTCTTCTAGAGGTTTGCCTGTTCTTCAGACGCTCAGTGCTGCAGGCAGCATGCTCCTTGGCCTGTGTGAAGAGACCCTGCAGAGGCCAAGGTGGGGGAGACATAAGTCCAGATCCTTGTGGACCTACACATACCCTCTTCACAAACCGTTTCATGGCTGTGGCCAGAAGAAAGAAAGAAGGAAGGAAAGTGTTGCTTGCACATAGCAAATGGCAAGCTGCTAATTCCTGCAGATGGTGAGATGCTGAGGCCCCAGGGAGATGACTTCTAGCAAATGGTTTTTCAACCTTCTCATTACTGCAACAAAAAGCTCCTTTAAGTGAGTGGTCTACTCTGGCTGCCATAGCAGCTTACCCATTACAATGCTGACATTTTCTGGACCATGTGCCAAACGAGTGCTGAGGGGTGTGCGTGTGTGTAATGCACATAATACAGGAGACAGGCGAGGGACTGTTGGTTAGCTATTGCAGAGAACAGAGCCTGTAATACTGCAAAGGAGGGGGTTTTGTCAGATCAATTTGCAAGCTGCTTTCAGCTGTCAAGGGATTACATTAAGTTTCTGGTGCTCTGTTTGGGGTACACGTGCTTCTCTGCTTGTCTGAGAAAAGCCGAAAGTGTTGACACTGCTGTATGTTGCTGGGGGAGGCTGTTTTCTGATGGCTGGTGCCTTAATCAGCTGACTAATTGGTAGTGCATGGTGGTTTGGGGAAAGAGAAGAGGTGAGGGAGTTGGTGATGGCTTTTCTGTCACATCAAGAGAAGACAATAGGATGGGAGGTTTGGACAATAGTTTTGGAGGTGGTGGGCTGAAGTTAAGTAAGCTTGTTCCTTGCTAGGCTAGAGCCGTTGTTACAGTATTAACATGGTAGCAAATGAAGCATGCTTTTGCTCCTTTAAGAAACAAGGAAAGGGCATAGATTGCCTCATAAAGGTGAGGAGATGGAGAATTTCCTCTGAGCTGTGTCATAACAGGCTGGCACTGTTAAGGCTAGGAAGCTCTGTCAGACTGTGGTTATGACGGTGGGGAACTAGATGGCCTCAGCACTAAGTAATGGAAATAGTTACCAAGCTCGTCTTCAGCCCGCTTTGTCCTGCTTAAGCCAGCAGTGACTGGGGGCAATTACCACGTGTTGACTTAGACTGACGTATTTCCCATGCAGTGTGATCATGCAAAGAACTGAATTATTGTGGTAGCTGCTGGCAGGCAACACTCTCTGTGCCTGAAGAGGAGAGTGCAAGCAGCAGTCCTTGCTTTGGCCCATGCTTTGGGAAGCTTTAAGCAGTCAGTTGGGACCTCAGCACAGCCATGTTTGCAGAGGAAGATGACCCAGGAGGTAATGAGTTGTTTTGTAAACTTCTCTGCAAGTGTCACCATGGGAACTCCCGGTCTGCCAGGCACTTCCAGCACATCCCTGTGGTTACGCTGGTAGAGAACTGGGAGAGGCCGTAAAGCTAACCACACTGTCTTCCTGCCAGATATTGTTGGTGACCCTGTGTGTGCCTGCACAAAAGCTGCAGGACAAATTGCCATGCAGAGAAACCCATTAAGGGATTCTTCTGCCTTTCCTTAGGGACTGTGATGATGGCTGCCATGTTACAAACAAAGGAGGTTCTGGCTGATCCTTGCTGAACTGAGGTAGGAGAACAATCCTGTGTGTTCCTGCATTAAACCTTCTCTTTTCTTTCTGCAGGCTGCCCAGAAGGGAAGAAAGTTGAATTTATTACCAGCTTGCTTGATGCTCTGACTACGGACATGGTACAGGCTATCAACTCAGCAGCACCTACTGGGGGTGGGAGGTGAGTCCAGAAAGCACTCAGGCTGAATGCCACTAAGGTGGCTGCAGAGCTCTGGGTGCCCCTGAGGTGGGGCCGGGAGGGAAAGGTGTTGCTCTGTGCTGATTCGGGTTCCTCTGGGTTGCTGGGAGAGGAGCCGAGGCTGCATCTTCAGACTGCTCTGTCCTGTCATCCTAGCCCTGCCTGCCTCCTCCTGCCCCTCTGCCCTGGCAGCTGCTCCACCATAAAGGTTAGTGTAGCCCATTTGAAGTGTGAAATGAGAGCTCAGTGGGAGGAAGTGGCTTGTTCTTTTGTCCCCTGGTGAATGAAAAGACCTAATAAAATGCAAATGGATTGAAGGAGACCATGTGGCCTAGCGGCTACCATGGGGAGTGAAGAATGCAAACTGAATTCTTGGCAGTACCAGTGCTGTGGTTTTGCTGTGGGGCCCGAGCCAGCCTGCCGATGAGGAGAGGAGCTGTTTTTCATGGCCCTCCCCTCTGACCGGCTGCCTGCTCATCCCTCATGGAAGGAGCAGCAGGTCAGGCCTGTTGCAAGAGGTGGGCAGAAGTCTGCGTTTTGGGGAACTGGAGAAAAGCTGAGGTCTTGTCTCCCCCTTCTGCTTGGTAACAGCAAATCCCCTTAGTGCAGCAGCTGCGATGCTGCAGCAGGACAGGCCATTGAGAATGGACTGTGATGGATTTAAAAGCAGCACTATATTGCTTCATCTATGCAAGGCTTCTATGCTTCTGGATTCCCCCAGCTAGAAAAGGGGTCAGTGCTAGTTTAACATGCAGCGATGCCACAACGAATACTGTGCTTGTGTTCATAGGGATGTAGAGATGAAGGAGGTGCCTCTGTGCATGTGTTACTTCTGTGGGTATTCCTCCAATGTATCGAGAGTGATATTGATCCCCTTCTTTCCTCTTTCAAAATGTAGAAGGAAGCAGTGCCATCTTTAAGTACTCAAGACAAAAATCTGCCTGGGTGGCACCTCTGTGCCTCTTGGTTTCAGTATGGATTGCTTGTGAGCCCATATGGTTTTAACTTCGTGTTTGGACCTTACAAATCAGGCCAGTGGCTGAGTGCCTGCACGCTGAATATTCTGTAACCCGTCGAATTAGTAGTATATGCCTAGCATGTCTGTATTCATATAAACAGGATGAAAAATGCCCCAAGGATGGGAAATACGTCGTTCTCTCCCAGCCATAAGCATTCCAATGTCAATTCTGTCTAATTTGCATGGTTCAAATGCAGTGGGTAGGGGTGGCGGGAAGCCCTGGAGAGTATTTGATATTTATTTGGCATCTTTGGCACGGGAACTGAAACCCAGCCAATGTAATCATCGCTCTTAAAATAAAGCTTAATATAAACCAATATTGTAGAGACCAGAGATGTATGCCCCCACTGCACTTCTATAAACCAGCAGGCTTGCTTCCTAATGTTCCCCAAGCTTTGTGTATTTCTCAGCTTTCAATAGAGGCCTTTCTGGTAGAATTTTTCACTGTGCAGCTCTTCACACAGTCCTCATGTTGATTTATTTTCAGCTCCAGTGTTGGCAGCCCAGTTGCAAGGGGAGAAAGAAATCTTTTAGCAGGCCGTCCTTTGTAAGGCGAAAGACTGCTGCCACCCAAATACTCTGCCTGCCCACAGCCACGATTAAATTCAGGAAGCTGCTCTGGCGTAAACTTCCATGTGCATCAGCTAGGCTAAGCGCATACCCCAAAGAACGTACGTCAAGTTTTTCCGTCCCACCATGACATGATGGGACCATTTATTTTGCAAAGAAAAGCATTTCAAGGAATTTGGGGTACTTAAATAAAAGTTTAATCAGTACAGCTTTCATTTCATATGAGTTTGGAGAGTTGGGAAGCTGTCTCTGTGCAATGAGTCCTGCTTTCCAAGTTTCCCAAGAGGAGGAATGTCCTGAGTCCTCTCTTCAGGAATATCTCAAATTGTCTGGGTAACCTAACTTCCCTTTGGCACTGGAAATGAAGCTCTTTTTCCAAGACACAGGGGTATTTTATTTATAGGGTTGTGAGGCTAATTCATTTTTAACCTTAACAAATAACAAAACACTGGATTTATGACAGTGCTTATCCTGCATCTCTCTGGCCCAGGTTTGCTGAGAAGGTCATGTTCAAAGAAAAGCTAGAGATCTGGCTATCTGATTTTTCTTAATGTCAGTCATGTTAGTTTTAATGTCGGTTTTCTTACTTGTGAGGCAAGTAAGACTTATTGCAGGCTTTTCTCCATCTTTGCCATAATGATGGCAGAACAGGTTCTCTATTTAAATACGCACTGGTTCCCTCTGTACCCTCCCTTCTTCTGTTCATTTACAGTGTTCAGCATTTCATTCTCCTGGACCTTTTTTAAAGTCTGAACAAATGTGTCCAATGATCTCAGGTACATTTTTAACATATCACCAGTAAAGCTTATGGCTGTTGCAGAGGGCAGGCCAGGCAAACGGTGAGCTGTACCCCCATGTCAATTGGTCCCATATATTGTCCTAATCCCTGGAAGTGTTTAAGACCAGGTTGGATGAGGCTTTGAGCAACCTGGTCTAGTGGAGGGTGTCCCTGCCCCCAGCAGGGGGGTTGGAACTAGATGATCTTTAAGGTCCCTTCCAACCCAAACCATTCTATGATTCTATGCATTTTAATCAATCGGAGAAGCAGCAAGTAGGAGTTTTAGGGAAGGTGGGGAGTATTCCTGTTTCTCCATGGCAGCAGAGAGATGATATTGGCATACAATATACATCTTTAGTATCCACATTAAAATATAGGACCAAACACAGAGAAGAGCCTGAAGTGTCAAGGCCTGAAAAAGCCTAACAGTGAGAGTGTTAAGGAGCTCAGCCTTCCTTAGGGTAGTGAAAGAAAGAAGAGGAGAAAAAAAAAAAGGCTGAAAGATGATTTTGTATAATCTGAGTATCTCCATAGGGACAAAAAGCTCTGCAGACTCTTTAGTCTACCAGGGAAGAACATGATTAGCTGAATATAAACAAACTTGTGATCAAAATTTCTTTAAAGCAAGGGCAATTCTAAGGCAAAATGAAGTCATGAAGGAGGTGACAGATCCCCTCTCTCTAAGTCTTTCATCTTAGGCCTGATGCCTTTCAGAAAGACTTGCTTTAGTCTAACCCAAGTTATGGTCCTAAGAGTAATTTGATTCACATTCTGTGAGTATGATATACAGGAAATCAGATTAAATTACCCTGCTGCCTTCAGTCTGAATCTGGATATGCAAGTGAAAACTTCCTACATTTGCTGAGTGTCTTCATCTTCAAGATTTTATGTATTTATGCTGCAAAGTTATTTGTGGCTTTGCAATTAATGTCTGTATTAGCTTTTTTTTGGGGGGGGGCAGAGGAGCATGTGGAGAAATTAGAGATCTGCATTTAAAATACTACATAGAGCTGTGCTAAACTGCACACTTTATACTTGGCACACACAAGAGCAATCTAGTAGCAGCAAAGTGAGGCTGTACAACTTGGATTGCTGCGGGCCATGTAAGAAAAACCTGATAAGACTTTTTTTTTTTATTGGGCATGCTTAAAACAACCTTGTAATCCCTTATAGGTCTTGTCTCGTTTAAGCAAGTTCAAAGCTATTGACTTTAATTGAGTTACTCTTGCTTTACAATGATGTAAATGAGACGAGAACTTCCCTTCCTTGTGGCCCTGGTTTATATTACAGCAAAATAGCCAAGGAGACTTCATTTAGACTTTTGAAACAGAAAATCTCTGGTAAAATTCATTCTTAATTTTAAGTTTATGTAATAACTCCAAGGCACATCTTGTTACTGTATGTTTTCAAAGTAATTAAGGGAGCACTTGTAGGAAATTGGTTTATTAACCAGTGTTTATTATCCTTTTTGAAAAAACACATAGTAGAAATTGTTCACGTATAAATCCTATACAATAGGAGCAGCACTTTTTAAGATTTATACTTCACTTTAGTACATTTTAGCCTATTTTCTAATTTGGCCATATTCATATTACACAGGGCCTCAACTAAAATAGACCAAAAGGGATCCCAGCCTGGGTTTCCCTGATCTGAGAAACTCCCTTTTGTCCCTGCCAATTCAGAAGTTAATTTTAGTTGCCAAAATGTGTGTACTATGGCTTGCTACATTATCAGCAAAAATATTACTGTCCTGTGGAATTTAGGGTTAAAAGGGCAGCTTACAACAGCCACCCTTATCATGTAACACAGCAGCTGTGTCCCTTCATTTTAAGTTGCCAATTATTCCCCATGTAATAGCCCTAAAAAGTACTTCAGAAAATTGCCCCCAAGGTTCCCTTTCATGCTCTGGTTGAGCAGTTTGAAGCAGGCAAGCACAGCTCAGCACATCTCCAGGGTGTTCTGAAGTCGAGCCATGTTTTAATAAAGATTGACACTTTCAAACAGTGCAGGGAAGTTAATGCCCAACTCCTATTGCATTTCAATTGAAGTTGGATACCAACTTCTCTTTGTGCTCCTATGGAAATTCTAGCCTAATTAAAGATATGGGAGAGTTCATGTAAGAGGAGGATCTTTGAGCAGTCAATGAGGAGTGAAGGGAGGTGATTTTTAAACTTTCTAAATGATTTATCCCACAATCTTCAGAAAAGTTGTGTTCAGAATAATGTTTCATACACTACTTAGCTGGAGGAGAGGAAGAAACTGGGCCTGTAATAGGAAAACTTAAGTTTTAACTGTAGAGGAATTACGCAGTCCCTGTAATGAATTTGGACTGTGTAGTACCCTTTTGTTTAGTCTGAACACAGCTTAGTTTTCTGTTGGTTTCTTGATTCTTTGGCTACAGGAAGGGGAGAATAATAAAACAAATACAGGATCCTTTTGCAATTCCATTAGAGTAAGCCTCTTTGATTCAAGCTGTGTTCCACTGTTACAGCGTTTAAGTTTAGAACAGAAAACTTCAAACAACAACAAAAGGAGAGTAAGAAGTGGATGCAGAACAAGAACAATTCTGAATTTTACCCCCCTGTGTTAAACTCATAATTTCCTACCGCTCCCTGCAGGCACCTTAGTGGACATCATCAATGCTGTCATGGGCATTGACTTGGCAGGGTCAGTCCTGTCATTTCTTTTGCCTCACTCTCATCCGTTCTTCATTCAGCAACAGCACCAAGCATGGTATGTGTCCTCACAAAGTATTTTCAAGTTGTAGAAACTTACAACTTTAACTCCTGTAGACATCCTGACCACAAAACATACCTTGTGTGTTGAGAGTGGATGCTGGACTAATTTTTGTTCTACTCTGTTGCTTCTGCTAGCAGCTTCTTGTCCATCAGTGTTCTTTCATCCTGGAACAGCTCCCTTTGGTTTATAGTCTCTGTTTGCAGTCCAGTTAGGTGATGTTAGGCTGGTCTTACTCCCCTTCCCTCCTTCTGCCTCAGCTGCTATTGTTGCTACATAAAGTTTGTATTACAAAAGAACAGGTTTTCTGAAGGTCTTCAAACAGACTATCATCTGCTGGGTACTTCAGAGACCACAACCTTGCTTGCTGTCCAAGCAGTATTTTGTATTAGGATTTTCTGTCACTGCAACAGTACTGTGGGTCCGTGCAGCCTGTGTAGTGGGATGCAGTGGGGCTGCAAGTGTTCAGGGAGCAAAGGACCAGCTTTGGTAGGAATGGACTTGAGTTTACTTAGAAAATTTAGTGGGACATATTACGCTTTGACAGCACAGTTCTATGGAGGATGATGTGATTGCACACTGTACACAATTCTGTGAGTAATGCATGACACTTGCTGCTCTTGTATACTTTACCCTATATACCTCCTCTCCTTCCCACTGAGCTAACTCCTCCTTTCTTGCAAGGGGTCTCAAGGGCTGGAAAGCATTACAGACTGTATGCAAAGTGCATATTCAAGCTGTCTATTTGATATTTTGGCATATTCTTCCCTCTCTGCCCCAGAATTCAGTGCAGATGCAAAAGTACATGTCCATGATTTTTCATAGCCTCTTTGCTTTCTGCTTGTACCCCAGTTACACCAGATGATATGGAAGTATTCTGTGGAAGCGTGTCTTGACTAGAAAATAGTATTGTTAAAAGTAACAGTACCTTAACCCATGTATCTCCAAGCATAAGCACCTAAGAAATAAATATTCTCCTCTTATAAGGGAACTGATAGCATGTTATACAGGACGAGGAGCAAAAGCCTCATAGAGAAGACTATATACTAGATGCCAACAAACTTGTAAGAAAGCTGAGAGAGCCGGTTCCCTGTCTTAGGCTGTTAATGACAGGCCGTGCTTCTCTTCATTGTTGGACCGTAGGTGGGTTTATGCTGCATAATGGAGCTAAACTTGCTGGCTTATGTACGGAAGCGATCCTGTGATAGCAGGTTAGATTTGGAAAATCAGCTTGGACAGAACTTTTTGCTTCCCCAGCACTCATTCTTTAGGAGTGATTGTTTTGCCATAGAGTGCTAAAGAGGAACAATTAGGAAGAAAAGTTAAGTACAGCTGTAATGTAGTGAACATGAGAAGGCTGGCTGCATTTTGGTAATGTCTGTCTTAGCTGCTACAACACTGGAGTGAGAGACGGGAATCCAGTGGATTTTTGTGTGACTGGTGTTAGAGGAAGAGATGTTGTTTTGCTGGGAGTTGAGAATGTACAAAGCAGTTTTGTTCTCTCTTGTTTTTTCTGATTCCTTTATGGTCTGAATGAGTGGAGAGGCAGCCCAGCAAATGAAGTTTGCATCTGAGGGTTGATTCATTTCTCTTGCAACAGCAATGGAGAAGTAATAGAGGGAAATTCCCCTGGAATACTCCTGCAAAGTTTGTGCTTGCAGGACAATTAGAGCCCCCAGATTTATTTCAGCTGCCCCACTGGGTATGGCTGTTGTCATGGCACATCATCAAAGCTAGGTGGCTTAACAGTGCTGTGAAATTGCTCCAATTCATGTTTCATGGATGGTGCGTAAGTGTCTTGCATGGCCAGCCGTCAGTCAAGATAGATATGATGTTGTAACCTCAGCCTTCTTTAGTGTATCATGTAATTTCAAGAGCCAGGGAGATATGGCTGCACTGAGATGATGTGGATTCTTCCTGTGCTGGGGCTTCCAGATGATCATCAGAAAGGGCAGGCAACCAACTCAGGAACTGCAGTCCCACTAAGCCAGCCAACAGGAAGTGGTAAAACCTCAGAAATTACTGTATCTTCCTTCCTCCTACAATCACACCAGTTAAGCTACCTCCCTTTAGCTTCATTAGGATGCTGCAGTTTTTAGTGTGAGCTCTCAGCATGTTTGTAATGGCAAAAATTGGTGTATCACCACCTCATGAGTCAATGTATTTGTATTAGCCTGTGGATTTGCCTCATTTTCTTTATGGAAGTGCTGAAGAGAGCTATATTGCCTCTCTTGGTAACTCATAGGAGCTCCTCCTTGGTGTGCCTCTGAAAAAGAGGCACTTTTAATTCCTGCTTCCGAGTGTCTCTTCAGCAGAGAAACTTGTGTTCCTGTCTGTTGTCTTTCTGCTGTTGGTTCTAAGATACTCTGCTATTTTCTCCATTTCTGCCTCTCCAGTTGTAGGTCTTCAGGAAACAAAGGTCAGGCCAAGGTGTGGACAAGGGGAATCTCACATGCAAAAGCTCAGGCTTTTTTCTCTATCTCAGCAAAACCAGAATATTGTCCCTTGCAATACAGAAATTCCCTGTAGCTGTTGGAAACATGCTAGTCTTCAAATGATAGCCAGGTCATTTCCAAAAGGGAGAGAGGCCAATGACTGTGTTCATAAATGTCATAAAAACAAGCCACAGGATGCGTTTTTATTCTCTCCTGTCATCCTGGTCATCACATACAGTTTCAAGGCTCTGAAAAATCTAGGCACTCCCTTAGCTTCCTGGGGAGATTTTTGCAATTTCTGCTTGTCAATAGGTGGCTCCAGGGGCTTGCCTTGTAGTTTGGCTTGCAAAACTAAGCCAAACTTATTCCCAACCTCCTCTTCCTCCCTGACAGTGCTTATCCTACTGTACATTGGCCAGATGCTGTGACTGAATGCCAGGCTGCTTCTCAGCTAAGAATTAAACGATGGAGAGAGTTTCAAGTAAAACCTTGGGAAAAATGTTGTGCAGTTTATTTGCCTCTCCCTGCTGTGTGTGTTTACTTGTTTCAAGGATCCAGGTGTCTCTGGATAGGGGCTACCTTTCTAGATTGTATTGTCATTTGTGAAAGCTATCGGGAAGGTCAATGGAAATCTCTATTCTCCACCTAAGCTCCAGTGCTTGCTTTCTGCATATTGCAGACTCCCCTTCACTAGTGATTTAAATTACCATGGCCGTAGGGTGAAGTTTTTATTTTTCAAGCACTGTAGCTGTGTTTGAGACAAAACTGGCCATACTGGAAGATCAAAAGAATTTTCTCCCTTCTAGTTCCCAAAAAAGAAATTTTCAGTGACTGCTTGAATATGTATCCTACCAGTTTCTGAAACAAGGTTGGTGACAGTCTTAAAGTGCATTTTAGAAGGTACCTGGGTTCATATTTCCCCATCTCACACCAGAATGCCCCAAACTCACACCAGAACCTGGCTGCCTGCAGCACACGACTGTCCCTCTCTCACTGCTGGGGAAGGAATTAGGCAGCAGCTGGAGGTGTCTCCTGGAATTCGTCAGAGCAACCAGTGCCAGTGTAGTGTGTCTGACTACCTATCCACTAATTTCCATGCACTGAAACGCTTTATTCTTGGGCAGAAAAAGGCTCAAGTCACAGCCTCATTTCAGCATCATTTCAGCTTTCTCTGTTGGCACACTCATCACATGGAGAAAAGATGGACTAGCCTAGCATAATTTTTAAAGAATTCTTCTTTAGAAAGAGTTTCTTTCCTGGTTCTCCATATCACTGAGGAATAACCCCTTTGCTGCTGCTGCTGCAGAGCACCAGACACTGCTTAAATGGCATGACATAACAGTGCCTATTCAGTGATGGCTTGACATTGAATAGCAGCGTTCTCTATTTGTGTATCTTCAGCTGTTGCTTTTCTTCCTGCTCCTCTTTTCCTCCTCTCTGATATTGTTTGTTGTTGTCCACAGAAAGAAAATGTGAGCCAAGTAATGTCAAACTGGTAATATCACAATGAGTAAGAAATGAAGCAAACTGAAGTTGCCAGTTCTGTAGTATTGCTTTTAATGGATTTGTGGTGCTTGTCTGCTGTGGAATTCTTGTGTATAAATCAACCATGTGAAAAGCATTAAATATGCTGAAAATACAGCACAGGAGTTCAGATCGTATAAATAGATACAGCAGGAATGTTGCATCTTGCCAAGGACATTTTCAAATAATGAATGTGTCTTGTATTAAATTAATTTGTTCCCTTTCTGAAGTCTAGATGTTCTTCTATCACAGAAACTACTGTGACAGCTGACACTCACAGCTCTCCTGCTGGTAACTTGAATGGGAGTCCAAGGGTCAAAAGGACCATGGAGATTGCCTCTTGCCCTCTAAAGGGAGATCCTTCTGGGATTAGGCAGAATTTCAGCAACTGGTGTGAGGAGAACCAGAGCTACTGAGGTTATCAGTGTTCACGAATCTCTTAGGTCCATTTGTTAATGCTAAAGGACATTTTTAGAAAAAGTTCATCTCTCTCAAAAGAGCCCAGCTAAAAGGAGGAGAATGCAAGACCTGCGTATTTTGCCTGCTTTAAATATGGCATAGTGCGTGTCTGGCTCGGCACGCAGCTCTGGCTCCTCAGCACGTGCTTGACAGTGTCGGTGAGAGCACCCACTTGTCGGGGGTCTGTGCTTTCTCTGTTCCAGATTCTCTGAGCCAGACCCCAGCCACACACTGGAGGAGCGAGTGGTACACTGGTACTTCAGCCAGCTGGACAACAACAGCAGCAATGACATCAACAAGCGGGAGCTGAAGCCTTTCAAGCGTTATGTAAAGAAGAAAGCCAAGCCCAAGAAATGTGCCCGACGTTTCACTGACTACTGTGACCTCAACAAGGACAAGTCGATCTCGCTTCAGGAGCTGAAGGGATGCTTGGGAGTCAGCAAGGAAGGAGGTGAGTGCCTTTCCTTCCCCGTTGCATGAGAATAAAAGACTGACATGGAGTTACAGCAAGCTCAGGAATCTGTTTTCTCCCAGGTGATTCAAAAGTGCCACAGTTTGAGAAAATGAGTGGGATTAATACCCTGCTGTGCAAATGTAGTTCATTATTTGTGTTATGGCTCTGTCTTTTATCCTTTATCGTGGACCTTTGTGCTAAGCGCTATATAGAAACAGGGCAAAAAGATGAGCCTTGCCCAGAACCCTGCTTGTACTGTAGAAGTCCTTGGAAACTGTAGTTCAGATCAGGTCCCTTCTGAGTAATACACTGCTAACAATATTCTGTTGTCTCAACCATGTAGGTTGGATGATGTATGAGCCAGCACAGACCCAGTCCTTCTCCAGAGACCCTGTTGACTAACAGAAATAATATTTATTTTCATTGCTAAATCCAGCATGCAGGGAAGTGGATGACGCAGAGAGAACAACTCAGAAAGAAAGTGCAGGGCTGTACTGTTGCCCTTTTTCAGAGTTAAATTGTGCTTTAAGATTGAGGAAGAAATAGGGCATATGAATAACGTATTTTCCTTTCTGGTTAGTGCCTGAGCAACCAACCCGCCCTCCTTCCTTTTCTTCCTCTTTCATCTTCACCTCATCTTCTGTTGGAACCTGGACCAAACTGATATTTTTGGAAATTTTATGAATTGCAACTGTTCAACCCAAATTCAATAATTATCAGTCATTCTTGACTGTGGGCAGACTTGCTTGGCAGGAGAAAGCAAGCTAATTTCCTGTGCAGGTGTTTTGGCAGCGCGGACAGCTCTTGTTATAACCGTCGTGCCAGTTGGGGAAAGGTGGGTAGCTTTCTCCAGGCTTAACCTTTCCTTAATTCTTTCCTCAGGTTTAGCACAAGTGGGAAGGGAGTTGTTGGTGCATTTGGGTGTTGAGAAGTTGCCCTTTCTAGGTGCTCTGCAAACATCTTAGTTATAACAAGCCTGCTGCATTACTTGTCAGCTGTGAGAAGCATTTAGCTTCCCTAGCTCAGTGGAAGTTTTTTTTCTTAGTTGTTGGTACTGAGGAATGACATTCCAAAATAGCAACCCTGTTCCTTAATTTTATTACCTTCCCAATAAGATGAATATGCCAAATGAGTTTTATTGCTATTTGGCCTGGAATAAGACTCTCTGGAATCTCCTGCTTTGCCCAACCGACTGTTCAAAATTTAGTTTATGGAAAGGGGGCGGGGGGGAAAAGGAGAGAAGGAAGAAAACATGAATCTTTGAGCCCATGTGAAGGGGAAAGAAAGCAGTGAGACATTATTGTAAGTGTCTGATTGCCCAACTATTTGCTGAGAACACAGCTTTGACCTTTCATGGTTTCTTCCATTGTCTGAGGACAGGATTGTATGCAAAAAGGGGCTCTGACCTTGTTTGATCATACAGTTCCACATACCTACTAAAGGCCTGATAGGCCCTGAGGATCAAAGATAAATGGGTAAGTTATGTGGAAGGAGGACCAAGGGGGGCCAAAATGCAGTGGAGGGATTAGTGCAGGGAGCAGGTACTAACATGTAGGAAAAAACTGAGGGAAGAGTACTCTAGACATGCAGTAAGCAAGTTTGTGATGGATCTTTTTTAAGAAGTTATGAATTTGTGAGGTGGTAGATGACATGTTTGCTCTGCTTTCTATTCACAAGAACTTCTAAATTAAGAAATAATCGGTAGCTTACCCCTTCTCCAGCTTATCCTGATCATGGGTGCATGCAGTCAGTCAACTAGTCCATGTATTTGCTCTCTGTTTCTTTCTCCGTACCGTGGCCTCCAAACATCTGCTGGGGCTGAGGTCACTGTGGGTCCAAGCCAAGAGCTAGTTGGGAACCTTTTTGATGATGTACTTTCAGTTGTAAACTGCCAGTCAGATGAAACCAAAACTTTTCATGGAAATGTTTCTGTTTCAACAAAAGCTTTGCTGGAAAGGTTTTTCTGGTCTGGATTGGATGAGGAAGGGTTGGAGGGAAGCGAGGAAAGTCATCATTTCCCCTTGATATACTTCATTACAAATGAACTGGCCTCAGATATTCCAAATCCTGGTTGGGTATTCGGCAGCATACGGACTAAAATGAAGTGGGTCATCATTCCATGTGCCTCCTGCTAGGCAAACTGAACACTTGTAATGATTTTGAAAATAAAACTTAATACAAATTTTTGTAGGGTTTGGGATGCTGAGGAAAACAAATGTTAAGGCTTCTACATTTTTGTCAGTGTTTTGCTTTTTTTTTTTTTTTTTTCTTCTTCCCTGTGGCCAGTTCCATCCAAACATGGAAATAGTGTTGCTTGAAGGAAGCACAGGGCATAGATAAATCAGCACTGTTATATGCCTCTTGGGCACTAGATAGTCTAAATAAACAAGATTTATGTGGGAGGATTCAGCTGGGATATTCATAAAGACGACAAACCTGAATCTGAGCTCTTTCCAGCTTAGGATCAAATCTGAGATGCATAGTTCTGTCTGTCTTCCCCTCCTCAGCAGGTTTTCTTGATGCCTGTGGTAACCTAATATGTGGGTGCTGCCAGCCAGTGGTTCTTCAGTGAGGGGAATAGCTGTCAGTCTGCCAGCAACCCTTCCTCTTTTCCATCCTTATGATGACCCAGAAAGTTGCTGAGAAATTTGCTAGGTCTGTTGGCCACTTTGCACAGCTCTTGCCCCTCTACTTAAACCAGATGTGTTTCTATTAGGGCAACTCGGATGGAAAAACGCTGTCCCTGGATCTGGAACAGAGTAGCCACATAGAGGCAGCCTTTGAGGGCTTGCACAAGCCTGCAAATGGTTTCTTAAACTGGGGCAGAACAAGTAGGGAGCGCTTGTAGCTCGGAGTATGCCAGAAACAGTCTTTGCCATCATTTGATCTAGGATTGTCTGTTTGAGGAATTGTGGGAGGAAAACAGACTGATTTACAGCCTGTTAAAAGTTAGCATTCATCAGTGCAGTCTGCATAGCCTGAGTTAAGGGGGGAACCATCTGTGATCAAAGAACAAATTTAGCTTTCTGCATTAGTCAAAAGGCAGGGTCCTTGAGAGGAGATAGACACACACTGGAAAGCTTTGCTGGAGCGTTACTGGACCCAAGATTAATTGGAGTCCAGTGATCTTAGAGAGGAGGACTGTAGATCTGAGCAAGGCTTATTCTAGTCGTGCTGGCTGCAAAATGCTGGAGTTTTTTACCTCTACATTCTTCCAAATTCAGAAGACAAAGTCAGCATTTTGTGCCTGCCCAAAGAGGAGCTAAGGGATTAAGCAGCGAAGAAATGTCCCTCCGCCAGCTGACGGGAAGTTTCCTTCTGCCAGTTCAGATCCCATGATAGCTTTGCCATCCAAGAGCTTGTCAGATGGTAGGTGTTGGGCGTGCTTCACAGGCCATGAGGACTTCTGGGGTGGAACCTGGCCACTGTCTCTGCCAAGCAGCCAGCTACCAAGAGCACAGTCCAGAAACAGGATCAAAATGTCTTAATTAAAAAGTGTGTGTGTGTGTAATTAAACAGCATGTCACTTTCTACTGGAGCTGAGCAAATACTACAGAAAGAAGGAAAAATAATGGACAATCTAAACAGCAGATTTAATTCAGTGATGTTTGAGACCCTTCTTACTGGTATCTGCAGAAGAAACTGAGTCTCTGCATGCTTAGGAGGCTTCTGGGAATGAGGATGCTCTGTGTCACTGCTGTGCAAGCAGCTGTGTGGGAGCAGGTAGCAAGGAGCAGTCACCTGGGAAAAGCCTCTGGATCGATGATGGTAGAAAGCTGACAACAGTCTGGGAGGCTACGAGAAAACTGTCACCAGGTAACAACTGAGTTAATAAAAAGGAAATTCAGAATATATCTAATTACAATTAGATTAGAAGGTAAATGAGTTCCACTGGTTCAGTGCTTGGTTTTGTTTGCCTTGTTCAGATATCCCCCTTCGGAGCTCAATAGAGATGCTATAGTTTGTCACTTTTAATCTTGAGGAAAGTTTCTGATGGTTAGTATGAATCAGGACATCAGTATTGTGTTGGGAACACACAATAAGGCTTGCGGTAGCGTGTTCCTCCCCCATGAAAGGCGAGAGCTTTGCTTGGTAAGTCTGAGGAATCATTTCTACCTATAAAAAGCTGCCGGGGTTTCCTTGGGGCTTTTCCTTGCACAAGACACGTGGCCTAATCCAGACTGGCTAGAATTGTTACCCAAAATAGTGTACTTGTGAGGCTGAGCAAATACTCTGCATTATGAAGCTTACTGAATGATGGGATGTTACCCTTTAACACCCAAAGGCTTCCCAGGTACATGTTTGTAACCCGCTGTCACCATCTGCCGCATTCCTTCCTCTCTTTCATGTCAACTTTACGCTCGGTGCAGTGTTGCTTTGGAGGGGGTTTGTCTTCTGTGTTTAGGCAGAAGGCTGAAGGCAATACTCGCTGCCTTTGGAGCGACAGGTGATGAGCTTCGGGGTCGTTTCCCGGCAGGGACGTTCGGGGCCGTTCCCGCGGGAAGCACAGCGCCCCGCCGTGCTGCTGGAAAGGCGCGGCCT